TAGCTGGTGGCTGTTAGCTACTGCTGAGTACAGGGCACAGTTCTTCCATTAACCCCTGACTGCCCACCCCTGTGCTCATAAATCCATCAAATCAAGGGGCAGGTTTCTGTGGCTACAAGCAAAAGGAGCTTGACAAATATTCTCTTGCACTGATCAGAAGAACTGAGACTAATGCCTCTTCTGGATCTTATCAGTGGCCTTTGTACCAGAGGAAAAACAGTGACCCCCAAGTTAGGCAAGAAGGAAGTTTTATTGTTATTATTTTACTATTAATTTGAAGGCAAAGAGCTTAAGATACATAATTTTAGAAAGTTCAAAGCAACTGACTTGCACCCTGTTCAGGCTGGTGGGTATTATCATCATCCTCATCTCATGTTGATGATAGGAAGGTGGGGAAGATAGTGGCTAGACAAGACTTGCATAAAACAAGAAATCAGTCAATGGTGAAGGTGAGATATGAACTGGACATTACCTGATTCATAATACACTCTTGTAACTACTATATTATTGGTGTAGCTAAATCTTATCCTGCTTGCCTATGACTCTCTCTCTCTCTGTGAAGATAGGTATGTGTGTGAGAGAAAGAAATAACACACGTGTGTGTAATATACCATATTTGCTGGACTCTAATTCTCGCCTTTGTTAGTTAAATTACATTGCCAAAATTGAGGTGCACAATAGAGTCAATGACACACTTGTGTGAAAAGGCCAGAGGAATCTGGAACTCTGTAGACAGGGAGGTGTGGAGGGGAGCGGGCAGGAAGAGATTGTTCCTGGAAGCCTCAGGGTTTTGTAGTGCATGGAAAATGAGAAGGAGCACCTGGCTGTTGGCTGTAGTCATCCCTTACCCACAGATCCTGCCTCTTGGGCGGCCCTTGAGGTCTCTTGCCTGTCCCCCCCCCCCCAAAAAAAAAGTTTTGAAGGTCTCATGAATGACGCCAGTTAGGAATCCTGTGAGGCTGGCAACTTTGCTGGCTTCAGCCTGGTGGAGGGGCATGGCTTCCAAAATGGTCTCATTCATGCTGACTTCCTCCCTGAAGTGCTATGACTTCACTGTTGGGTATATTACAATTGAGGGAAAATCCATTTTTTGTAATGTGCACCTTCAAAATTGAGGTGCGCATTAAACTCGAGTAAATACGGTAATAGCATGAAAGATCCCAGGCCCAAACTTTACAAGCAATGTTAATAAAGAATCCGGTCTGCCTCTAATCCTGGAGAGCAACTACCAGTCAGTGTCAATAGTACTTGACTACATAATCTTAGGTAGATAGATAGATACGTTTTATTGATTGGCCTAATCTTAGGTAGTATAGGGCAGACTTCCATGATCCATGATCCCAAAATAATTTCCCATTCCCACTAAAATGAGAGCAGTGCATGCTATAACTGGAGGTAGCTGTTCAATATTGGTTTCTTTTAGTGAGACCCTAGTATGTGTTTTTTAATGTGTGCTTTGCACTAAATAAAAGCAAAAAAAGTTTAGAGTGTAGCAGGGAAAATCTCCATAGCAGTTTGCTAGTAGTGCTCACCTAAGCTCAATAGGAGTACATGATGGAGAAAGTGAGAGGACTTCAATAAATACTCCTACATTGAAGTGGTAGTTCAAAACACCAGTAAAAATGGAGAAAAATTCTGGAAAGAAGGGAATGACTTTCTTTTAGATATTCTACATAGATAAACTGCAATTAAAATTAGACTAAGACTATAGTCTGCCCTCTATATTTGTGCGGTTTGACTTTTGCACATTTGATTATTCATGGATTTGATTATAATGTTTTCTCTAGAAATCTCTAGGTCCTCCAATATGATCAGTATCATGCTGAAGGACACAGAGATTCTTAGAGTGGTTACGGTATATTTTTTAATTTGGGATTTTTCCCTTTCATGGGGTCCCTATATACCCCTAATCCCAGCAAATGTGAGGGGCTGACTGTAATTACTTCCCCACTGTCAGGGCTGTCATTAGAAAGCAGCAACCAGATATCAGTTGGGAACAAGGTGTTGAGCCAAAGAAGAGAGGAAAACCAAAAATGAACTACAGCCAAGCAAATATGTTGCTCAGGCAAGAGCCCAGTAAGAAAACGTTTACATTGCTGCTTGTCCAAGTGGGCCTAATGGTGAGCCACCACTGGACTAGAGAAATGGCTTTAGTTGAACTTTCCACATGGGGCAGCTGTGTATAGAATGGGGAGATCTAATGCTGGCAACTCCTGATTACAGTTTCTGAGAATTTAATTTCAAACCAGAAGTTACATAAACATACAAGAATAAATTTTTGGGAAGAAGTGAAACTGAGAGATTTACCTATCTACTCCAGATAGACAAGCTACTGTTTGCTACCAAAACTTTGAGGCAGGCAAAGAAAGTCTCTTTTTTCTAGATTATAAAAATGCACCGGATCAACATGGTGCTTTGGGTAACAAATATTTTCATCTACGCTATTTGATAATGTATAAAGCTGACTATTACCCTCTAATGTTGGAGCCCCCGGTGGCACAATGCATTAAACCCTTGTGCTGGCAGGACTGAAGACTGACAGGTCAGAGGTTCGAATCTGGGGCGAGCACAGATGAGCTCCCTGTGTCAGCTCCAGCTCGCACATGCGGGGACATGAGAGAAGCCTCCCACAAAGATGGTAAAACATCAAAATATCCGGCGTCCCCTGGGCAATGCCCTCACTGATGGCCAATTCTTTCACACCAGAAGTGACTTGCAGTTTCTCAAGTCGCTCCTGACACAAAAAATAGGTCAGCTGGTACTTCATGCAATGTCCCTACTCATATGCAGATAACCAGTTTCAGAACAGAGTAAGACATTACAAAAGGTCCCAAGCCAGCTGTTGGGAAAGCAGCCATAACAGAAAAGTATGGTTAATTGAGTACTCCTCACTTTCTTTGATACTTGCACAAAGGGATAACCAAAATAGATGGGTTTGGGACTTCAAGCTTCTGCATGTCTAATTTATTAATTTGAGAATCTGAGTGTTCATTTGTGGCCAATCTGGTTTCCTTGAATAGATAACTTTCTATGAGGCTCATTTGGGAAGAAATGATTTTGTGGCATTTAAAGTAGAGTGTATGTTTCAGCAGAGCTCTCATATTAGACTAGAAAACAAGAGATAAATGTTGCAAGGATGGGTGAGATAAGAAGTAGGTAAAATCACATTTTATATTGGGCCAACTTCTACAGATGAAAAAATTGACAAGTTTCAAAGACTGTGGAAGCTGACATCATTTTTCACCAATGAAGTTGTCTTGAAAAAGATTACACTTTTTTATTTGTTTTCCAGGAAAAAGGTAGCAGCAATTCCCATGACAAATATGTACATACAAACACACACATACACAAACCAAAAACAATCTCATGCACTGCATGCAGTAATAATAATCAGAGAAGAGACAACAGCTACAGGATATTAACTACCCACCAACTTTTCCAACCCATCAAAAGCTCCCGAGTGTATTTTTTCTCCTTTTTGCTGCTGAAGCAATAAAAAAAGAAAAACCAACATCCAAATGATCTTGTTTATGGTGGCTAAATAAGCTGCATGTGCGTAATCCGTTAGAGTTTAATGAATTTATGACTTGCTTTGGAATTTGACAAGGGCCATAAAAGAGTAATTAACATTTATCAGTGTGTTTGCTACGCCTGCACACACCCTCCTCCCCTTGGCCCCTCTCACGGCAGTGTCGGGCACCATGGGGGGATATAAAAGTGATCAATTAATTTTTAATAATCTCAGGGAAAGATTGTAGAGTTGCAGTATGAACTCTGGGAGTGTCAATAAATGTGCCAAAGGTCGGCTGCTTTCCTTCTCCACATGCTTTCCAGTAAGCATTGTTGCGGGGGACAAACAAAATCTTCTACCATAAGAACCAGATCATGGTTGTCATCTAAGCAGCCACCATACTAGCCTATTTAGCTGTTCATCTCATGTACATAATATTATTACAAGTTGAACCTTGCTGAGTTGAGAGATACTTCCAAAGTGGCCAGAAACATGGGAGATTATAAACAAAGGGTTTTGTTTTCTCTTTTTTTCATATCCTAAATTCATACACATTAATATCATACAATGAATGGGTGAAGGGTAACCCTTCTCATACATACACCTCAAATTTACCTTCAGTTGGCTGCCATCCAAGATTTTGTGTATACTCAAATACCCAGAATACTACATATTCTAAACTGCACATTCAATCAATTGGGATAAAGCTGAGCACATTCCATGTGCTTACTCACAGAATTTTGTATTTCACATAAATTATTCAAATTACAGGAATTAAAGTGTATTGTTTAATCTCATACACACAGCATGTGGGAGTTGTTGCATTTATAACATGCACCAGAAAATCAGTGGTTTTGAGCATTGAGCTATGACTCTGGAGACCAGGGTTTGATTCCACACTTGGCCATGGAAATCCACCTGATGATGCTGGGTGTGTCACACTCTCAGGTCCAGAAAAAAACCCAATGGGTTCCCCTTCGAAATGCCATAAATCTTAAATAACTTCATAACATACAGAAATATGAGACTATGTTAGTCTCAAGTTGAGACAGAGAAGCTGAAAAGGGAAAAGAGGGAAAGGGGCTCTCTTCCTGTAAGCCCTTGTATAAAACAGTCATTGGATTCGCAGCCTTTGCTGCATATTAATAACATAGGTGTTTTGTGGGGTTTTTAAAAATCCTGGTATTTGGAAATGCTGAGTTTCACAAATCTTGCTAAGAAAACCCCGTATAGGTTTGCCACATACTGGTCATATGCTCTATCTACTTTCCTAAACTCAATGTATAGGTCCTCTCCACCCATAATTTTAATGCCTTCCAATAGCTAGAACAAGACTTCTGCTATAAGTATCTTGTTGCACTTTTTTGAGAGATATGACACACTTTATTACATTACAATATAATGATTCTCATTGTTATCATTTACTAAAACGAGTGTTTTCTCTATCATAAAACAGTAAAAATCATTTAAAGAAACAAGAGACACTTACAGAGGGGGAAAGTTAACGTCATGCGCTGGCTGGCCCCTGCAGATGCTGTCGGCCCTCCTTGGCTGTCGCTTCTATCTGGCAATCAATTGACAAGAAATTGAGATTATGACAATGAGCATCACAAAGGACAGTGATCAATCAATTGACTCCTACAACAGAGCAAGTGACATTTAACAGCAGAGAATTTCCTAACTCAGCAAGTACCAAGGGATTAAGCATCCAAAGCTGCTGCTGCAATCTTATAAACACAGAAAAAACTTATAAAGACAGAAAAAAGCCAAAAAATGTAAACAGAACACCTCCCTCACTATCAAAATGTTCCCCAAAATGGATCAGCCACCAGAAAATTTAGGATGAAGACTTGAAGATTTTCATCTCTTGTCACACTGTACCAAAGAAACCTTTTCTGCTTTCCTTTTGAGTGACCATGACACTTTCCCATGCAGACAGCATGGGATAGAAAATCTGTCCTCTTCCTTTTTAAGCTGCTACTCCTGTATTCAGTATACTAAATATACTCAGACTATCAAGTCCTTTGATTTTTTTTTATAAGAATGACATTAGTTCCTAAGTACCGATGCAGACCTTATTTCTCAGTGCTTTTTAATCTTACTTTTTAATCATCTTTGTGCATAATGAGCACAATTTTGTTGTTCATTCATTCAGTCGTTTCCGACTCTTCGTGATCTCATGGACCAGCCCACGCCAGAGCTCCCTGTCGGCCGTTACCACCCCCAGCTCCTTCAAGGTCAATCCAGTCACTTCAAGGATGCCATCCATACATCTTGCCCTTGGTCAGTCCCTCTTCCTTTTTCCTTCCATTTTCCCCAACATCATTGTCTTCTCTAAACTTTCCTTTCTTCTCATGATGTGGCCAAAGTACTTCATCTTTGCCTCTACTGCCCTTCCCTCCAATGAGCAGTTGGGCTTTATTTCCTGAAGTATGGACTGGTTGGATCTTCTGGTGGTCCAAGGCACTGTGCCTTGAAGTATGGACTGGTTGGATCTTTTGGTGGTCCAAGGCACCACAGTTCAAAAGCATCTATCTTCCTTCACTCAGCCTTCCCTATGGTCCAGCTCTCCCATCCATAGGTGACTATGGGGAATACCATTGCTTTGACTATGCGGATCTTCATTGCTAGTGTGATGTCTCTACTCTTCACTATTTTATTGAGATTAGTCATTGCTCTCCTCCCAAGAAGTAAGCATCTCCTGATTTCCTGGCTGCAATCTGTGTCTGCAGTAATCTTTACACATAGAAATACAAAGCCTGTCACTGCCTCCACATTTTCTCCCTCTATTTCCCAGTTGTCAATCATTCTTGCTGCCATATTCTTGGTTTTTTAATGTTTAGCTGCAACCCAGCTTTTGCGCTTTCTTCTGTCACCTTGATTAGAAGGCTCCTCCTCGCTTTCTGTCATCAAAGTAGTATCATCTGCATACCTAAGGTTATTAATGTTTCTTCCAGCAATTTTTAACCCAGCCTTGCACAAAATGAGCACAATAACTGCACATAAATGAAATACGAAATATTATAAGTCACACTGAAAATCTTAGCTTTTAACTTGAAAATTAACAGAAGGACTGTTACTATCAGTAGGCACATCTAAACGGAAATCTGGACAGGTCTCCTTTAGAAAAGGGCAACTGTCATGCATACTTCTCTGTTCCAGGACTCCTCTTCCCTGACCAAAAGCCATCATAGATACTTCTTAATTCAGTCCCTTTCCCTCTACAGCCACTCACATTAAGACTTAGGGATTAATAGATGGTTAGGTGTTTTCCAAGAAAATTAAATAACATGCATCAAATACTAACTGTGTGCCTACTGGCCACTGTTAGCTGTAAACTGCCTTCTTCTTGCAAAGTTTATCCTTCATAAATAACTGCAGTGAAAGTTAGTTTGATCAAGCAACTCAGCTCTTGCAAAGGATACATTTGTTGTCAAAACATTAGGAATGTTCAGTGAAGAAATAAACATAATGTTTTCTATCTGTCATGCCCCAGCACGCATCTGTGATACTATGTTTGCTTTGTAGTTTGGGCCCTGTTGGCTTTCTGTACCCATAGATGTAATGCAATAGCTCCTCTCCCCTCTCTTTGTGCTATACTTGTTCTAAAGGAAACATGGGTTTTTATCATTTTTTTCACCTGCTGTAGTATGATGTTATACAAGATGTACTAGAATTAAACATCTGGAATCTTACCTACACGTCTCTTCAGTTGAGTTGACGCTGTCTGACAATATATATCTGGTGTGAATACTGGTTAAACAGGTAGTTTTAGGACTCTCGCATAACCTCACATTCACAGCCAGTTATTGAGTCAGAATACTATCTGCTCTAATTGTAATATCAAGTATCAGTTGATTTGTAACTATCCTGTTGCAAGATTTGTCCTACAATTGCAGAACATGTAAACTGGGCTGATTTATGAAGTAAGTCCATGCAAAAATTACATTAGCAGTCAATACTGTTAGGAAATTTCAGTGAAGAAATAAATGCATTGCAGCATTTTAGATAAATCAGACCAAAACCAAATCAAAGTTAGAGAAGATAACATTCTAAAGTGAAAAGGGGAGAAGGGAACAGTTCTAGGAGATCTGTATAAATCAAATCTAGTGGCAAAGAACTAGGATGGTAATGGGGATTTACATTCATTTTCTTTAGTTGAACATGATCCCAGAATGCCTCAGTCAGCATGGTCAATGGAGCTGAAAAAGTAACTTTTCCAGACTCTAATCCCCAGGGGAATTATACATTTTCAGGAGGCTATACATGTGATTGGAGGCCTACACAGCCTGTTGAAAAATATACCATAGTCCCGTTTCCTGTCCCCTGGAACCGTTGAAACCTCACAAACCACCAGAAGCCAATTGGGACAGCTTCCTGCAGGTGTCCTAGGACCATGAATCACACCTTGTCAGAATGCAGAGCATGAACAGATCAAATACTGAATGCATCCATTTCTAACAACATTGCCCAGACATACCTCCCCTCATTCCCAGGGTCTTCAGCATGATCAGTGAAGGGTTAAATGGGTATTAAGGAGGCACTTTGCAGGAAGCTTTAAAAACTCATACAAATATTATAAAAGATGCCTTTAATCATCTAATAGCCCAAACGGGGGTAGGTGATGGATGTGCTGATCTCCTCTGCCTGAACAGATGAGCCTGAGGATGTGGACTTACAGAGGTGGGGGTGGGGAGAAATGAGGACACTTTTTCCTCCCTCCCTCCCTGCTTGGAGCAGTTAGAAATATGAGGTCACCCAGCAAGAGATGATAACACATTAAGGGCTCTTGAGAGATTAGCCTGTCAGCCTCGTTAGGAACAGGCAATTGGGGGCTGACTGCATAATTAGAGGCTGGAGAAGCCATAACTCATGGCAGTTTAGACAGCACGATGGGGCCACATCCACAGATAGTCATTCCTGCTTTGAAAAGTCACCTCAAAAGAAGTATGCGAATGGGTCCTTTCAAATAGCTGCAAATGTACATTCGAACCCAAATCCTTAAATTCTGTGTTATACGTGCATGTAAGCAACTATGAATTACACATAGAGATAGTACCTACAGAGATTCCCACAATAGTGTGTCTTGCAATGAGGAATAAGCAAATTCGTCCCCTTCCAAATTTGGAAGTAATACATCTTTATTGAATTATTTGTTTGTTTATTAATGAGGCACAATGATGGTCCTAAATCCTGTCTGGATGTTTCTACATTTTCATTATGTTCTTACTATTTAATACATTACCATCAAGTTCACATGGCACTCTGGTTTTAGGTGCAGAACTTCATGAATACAATTGTCAAACTAGGAACTATCTGTTACAACAGTGGTTCTTAACCTGTGGGATGTGGACCACCAGTGGGCCGTGAAGATGAAAATCTGGTCTGTGAGCCCTCTTCCTTTTTATTTATTTATTTATTTATTTATTTATTTAATTTCAGTTTCTTTCATGCCGCCTGCCACTCCTTCCCTGTCGCTGATCATGGCATATGTTCTGTATCAGAAACTAGAGCTGATATGGTCTATCCAATGCAATTTTCTGAATCAGCACCTCAGACCGAATCTAAAGTTGACCAACTGATTCATAACCCTTTGGTATTAATGTTGGAGAGTGGTCTCTAGTCAAAGTGGTCCCTGATCAAGTGGTTCCTGATCAAAGTGGTTCCTGATCAAAGTGGTCCCTATTCAAAAAAAGGTTGGGTACCACTGTGCTACAGGAAGAGAATGCTAGAACAGATGTGTATTTGGTCTGATCCAGTATAGCTTCCCCAATTCTCTATATGTTAATCTTTCATAATTTCTTTTCTGATGTTTTGTGGGGCTCATTAGTACATAGATTCATTACACTATTCAGTTGGGCAAAAGCTGTGTCCACCTCAACTAAGATGCTCACTCAACTCCTTTCATTTCATTGAGCATCACTCTCAAGCAAGGTGTCAGTTCCCAAGTAGCTCATCCCAGGGCTGTTGTAGGTTTTTTGGGCTGTGGTATGTTCATAGCATTCTCTACTGATGTTTCGCCTGCATCTATGACAGGCATCCTCAGAGGTTGTGAGGTTCTCAGGCATCCTCAGAGGAGGATGCCTGCCATAGATACAGGTGAAACATCAGGAGAGAACGCTTCTAGAACATGGCCACACAGCCCGAAAATCCTAAAACAACCCAGTGATTCCGGCCATGAAAGCCTTTGACAATACAGCTGCATCTCTGTTTATTAGCTAATACAGAGAAGAGAAGGGTATATTTATTCAAGGTGTTGGTATTGGCCTATAAAGCCCTAAACGGTTCCGGCCCAAGATACCTATCTGACCGCAACTCGGCCTATGAACCCACCAGGACTTTGAGATCTTCCGGGGAGGCCCTGCTCTCGATCCCGCCAGCCTCCCAAACACGGTTGGCGGGGACGAGAGATAGGGCCTTCTCGGTGGTGGCTCCTCGGCTGTGGAACGCCCTTCCTACGGACATTAGGCTGGCACCATCTCTCATGGCATTCCGAAGAAAGTTGAAGACCTGGATGTTTGTGCAGGTGTTTGAGTAAATTAGTGCAATCTGGTAATCTGAACA